TGTAAAGGGCTTGTCATGACTGAGAGGGTAAACAGTGCCCGGAAAATAATCCGACTGCTGATTGCCGCCAGCGCCCTGGTTCCTTGGGAGGCCGGTTGCCCATCAGTGTGGTTTGTTTGCTGGGCCTCTCCTTTAAGTGCTTTTATCGGGTTTAGCTATGCGGCTGAATTTTCTTTCCGGCCTGTGTAAGACTGCATCTCACAGATGGTTTCCTCCCCACGTCCCCAGGTAACGTTGTGGATAGCCAGTCCCCCAGACTGTTTGCAAACCAGCTAAGATGGGACCTGACTGCCGAACAGATAGAAAACATGGCTGCAGAGCTGACGGAGAGGACCAAGCTTGTGTACGACCGAGTGGGCTCCCAGGAGCAGGGCGAGGTGTCCTATGAGAACACTCTCAAGGCACTGGCAGATGTGGAAGTGGAATATACGGGTACGTACACCGAGAGGGTGTACTGGCATTCTGTAAATCAATGTGTTGTCATTAAGATTTTTTTGGTGGGTTTTCTGCTCTGTACCGTCATCTCCTTTTTCCTTCCCTTGGCTCCCTCAGCAGTATGGTGGTTTGTTTTTTTTCCAGTTAATGTTTATACAGCTAGATATAACTACAAAGAATAGAGTAGATTTGGAACGGAAGAGCAAGTCTAAAACGAGGATGGCGGTTTGGCAGCAGGATGATCTGCGGGAGGAGTAGCCAGGGTTTCAAGGTTGTCTCCTGCTTTTATGTGTCAAGGTGCATTAGTGAGAACAAATTGTGCCTTGACAGAAATGGTTGGGATGATCTAAGAAATCTTCAGCTCTTTTCTAACTTTTTCCCTAAGGCAGTGGATAAGTGTCTCTCCATGTGCCTTGTTTAAACACTGCTATCACTTTAGGGCTTACGTGTAAAGTAGCATGACATGATGGCATCGTGCTGGCAAACAATGTGGGCTTCGATATATTTCTGGCTAATTATTTACAGCAGTAGAGTGCCAAAGTCACACAGCCCATCCCCTGCATTACGGCATCTTTCAGCTGTCCTGACCATGTTGCAAAGCGTCACCTCTGTATGAAGCAGAAGCCAGCCTGCAAGCCTTTTCTTTCTTCTCTCTCATTTCTTCTTCCTAAAATAAGAGTAAAAGCCCTTACTAAGCAGGGGTAATGTTAACTTCAGCAGAACTGTCAGCACTTTCCCTGGGCAACAGAGAGTAGCTGCCTGCTCACCTTCTGCTGGGTGGAGACTTCTCATGCCTGAACGGCAGCGCCTTCCTGCTGGAGTTGCATTATTTAAGGTTTTTGCAGAGATGGTGGTAGGGAATGTTCTCTCTGTTTTCACTTCTAAAATGGAAATATGTCAGGACAGAACACACCTGGGACATGGTGGCTTTTGAGGAGTGTCTGCAGTAAAGATGTGTCACGTTTAGCCTGGTCCTCTAAAGAAAGGAGTCACACAACAATGCTGCCCTTGTGTCTGCCAGCATAGAAGTCCTGTGATTCTTGAAACTGTTGATACCAGCTGTAGCTGGGGCAAAGGCGTTGGAATCTCACAGGCACGAAGTTCGTGTGAGTTTTATGAAAAAGATGGATCGCAGTGGGAAATCAGTGGACAGATGTGCGCGGCAGCGAGGAAGGGGTGAATGGGCGCTGTGGGTGACTGAGTGCTGCTCAGAGAGGACAGTTCTGGGTTTGTGTGACAGCAGCAGCTTGCCTTGCTCTTCCTGTGTGTGGGCGGGCAGGTCAGGCCCTGAGGCCGTCAAACTGGCTCCCAGTTAACACAGGCTCTCTGTGCACACTCCCACTCACGAGCACTTCTGGGACACGAAGCCATTGCCTTCACCGTAATCCCTCTTCTGTCTTTCCAGTCCGTCGGAACATGCTGGACTTTCCCCAGCATGTCTCTCCTTGCAAAGACATCCGTGCAGCGAGCACCGAGGCTGACAAGAAGCTTTCGGAGTTCGACGTGGAGATGAGCATGAGGCAGGACGTGTACCAGAGGATTGTCTGGCTCCAGGTGTGTGCTTAGGAGGACGCTGTGTCAGTGAGGCACCTGAGCAGGGCACTGAAACCTCCTGGAATTACAACAAACCTTTTTACTGTGTCCCAGAACTTAGAAGTGAATGATACCGAGTCAGGTCTGGAACTGAACTGCTGTGTGATCATGACAGAATGGTCCAGCTGTTAGTGAGAAGCAGGGAGTTGGGGTTTGAGGGCTCTGCCCCCTCTCAGGGCCTCGATTACCCCCATGGTAAAATGGGGTTAGTAAACCCAGCCTGCCTCACATGGGGAAGGGGCTGGGCAATGCCATGAAAAGTGCTGTAATGCAGCACAAGGGTGAGATGTTTAAAGTAATCTGATAGGAACTAATACACCAAACCAAAGCCTTCTTGTGGGCTGTTTCCATCTACTTCTGGGTCACTGGTGTTACAACAACCCACAACTCCTCCCAGGAGCCAACTTTCTGCAACACCTGATCCTGCGGTTCCCTGTGCTCATGGGTTTTGTTTTACAGGAGAAAGCAGAGAGCGCTTCACTGAAGCCTGAAGCAAAGAGATATCTAGAGAGGCTGATCAAACTGGGTAAAAGAAACGGTCTCCATCTCCCCGAGGAGACGCAGGAGGTAAGATCACAGAGCTTAAAGTAAGCACATGTAGAGGAGGCCTTGCAGGGCTAACGGGACAGTGTAGTGTTAGAGGAGAAGACTGAGGCTCAGACTCTTGAATTTTGCCCCTAATTCCTGTTACTTTGGGTGCACTGGGTGATGTCTCTGTGCTCCTCTTTTTCCTTTCCACTGGAGGGAATGACATTTACAAAGTGGGGCTGACACTGGGAGTTGAGGGGCTCCTGAGAAGCTGACATTGCAGACAGTGCTGTGCAGGTCAGGAGTGGAAGCAGCACCCGATCCCCACACAGAAAGAGGCGGTCAGGGAAGGTGCCCCAGTGGGGCTGGGGTTGGGGCGAGCAGGCTCGGGGGGACTGAGCTGCTCAGGGTCTCCCTCTCTTACCGTGTGCCAGTGACTCAGTCAAGGAGCTCAAAGCTGGGTTAAAAATAGGAGAGAAGGTGAAATGAAATAAGGGTAGAGGAGGTTGTTGCTTCAACACCTGCAGCTCCTGAGCTGGCAGGAGACAGCTGGGACCTTGCTGAGGTGGCGGCTTTCCTACCAGGTGTGATCAAAGGAAGCCTGTTCTAAGCTGAGAGCTCAGTGTGTGCGTGCAATTAATTCTGCAACGTTGTGTTTGAATAAAAGCCAAGTGCAGACTGCTGGGCAACTCAGCAGGCACGCTGCTGGCTGGAGATGGTGAACGGTGCTGTTTGACTTCCCCCTCTGGACTGACTTTTCTCTGTTCATCTGTATTTTAAAGAAAATCAAAGCTATTAAGAAAAAGCTGAGTGTCCTTTGCATAGACTTCAACAAGAACCTCAATGAAGACACCACCTACTTGCCCTTCTCAAAGGAGGAACTAGGTATGGAGCGCTCGGGCTTATTTCTCTGCTGGTGTGGTCCTGAGTGCCTGGATTCCTCTGGCCGAGGAGCAAGAGCCTGTTCCTGTGCTCAGTCCCAGAGCTGGTATTTCTGGAGAGGCTGAGGCTCTCCGTCAGTCCTGTCTGCTCTTTTTGCAGGGGGGCTCCCTGAGGACTTCCTGAACTCCCTGGAGAAGACAGAGGATGGCAAGCTGAAAGTTACCTTGAAATACCCGCACTATTTCCCTCTCCTGAAGAAGTGCTACGTGCCCGAGACGAGGAGGAAGGTGGAGGAAATGTTCAACTCCAGGTGCAAAGAGGTAGGTGGGCCTTGCTGCTTGCCAGCAGGGCCAGACGGGATGCCAGGTCAGGCCCAGGCACTGAAGGGGCCTTGTCTGAGATTTGGGCTTCTTTCCACACTGGGGCTCGTGGTTCCTTTCTCGCCTGCCTACCCCACTTCACTCTTTGTCTGACTCTACCTTGCAGGAGAATTGCTTGATCCTCAAGGAGCTGGTGGACTTGCGAGCTCAGAAAGCCAGTCTGCTGGGCTTCAACACACATGCGGACTTTGTGCTGGAGATGAACATGGCTAAAAGCAGCAAGACGGTGGCTACGTTCCTGGGTACGGCACGTGGCTGTGGAGGGGAAGAGCAGGGGGGTGTGCTGGGCCAGGTGTGCTGCTCTCAGCCCCAGGCACTAACTCTGCCTGCCTTGGTTTTCCTAGATGAGCTGGCCCAGAAGCTGAAACCCCTCGGGGAGAAGGAACGGGCTGTCATCCTGGACCTGAAAAAGAAAGAGTGCGAGAAGCGTGGCCTGGAGTTTGACAACCGCATCAATGCCTGGGATATGCGCTATTACATGAACCAGGTGGAGGAGACCAAGTACAGCGTGGACCAGAACCTGCTGAAGGAGTACTTCCCCATGCAGGTGGTCACCACAGGCCTGCTGGCCATTTACCAGGAGCTGCTGGGGCTCACCTTCCATCTGGAAGAGAAGGCTCAGGTCTGGCATGAGGACGTCCAGCTCTACACAGTGAAGGACACCTCCTCCGGGGAGACCATCGGCAAATTCTACCTGGACCTGTACCCACGGTGAGGCCTTGGGCGAGGCGAAGCGAGGGAGGAGGGCTAGGGCAGGGGGAGCGGAGCCTGCCGTGCACCTGGGGAAGAGGAGAGGCCGTCCCGCTCCCAGGCGCGTGATCGTGCGGAGGGAGCAGCGTGTACTCAGGCAGGGCTGTCCCGGGAGCACGAGGTTACCAGGGGCTTCTGCTCTGAGCGGGACCCCGGTGGCTCGTGGCTGGCCACGGAGGATCCGTGTAACGGATCTTCTCTTCCTGACCTAGGGAAGGGAAGTACGGGCACGCAGCCTGCTTCGGCCTGCAGCCGGGCTGCCTCTTGCCGGACTCCAGCCGGCAGATCTCGGTGGCTGCCATGGTGGCCAATTTCACCAAGCCCACGCCGGATGCACCTTCCCTGCTGCAGCACGATGAAGTGGAGACATACTTCCATGAATTTGGGCATGTCATGCACCAGCTGTGCTCTCAGGTGAGGCCTGGTGGGGTTGGCAGAGGGATGGTTTGTTACCTTTCCCCCTGTCATGCTCTCCCGTGGGGTTAAATGACACCCTGGTCTGAGCTTGCCCTGTCTCGTAGGCGGAGTTTGCCATGTTCAGCGGGACACATGTGGAGCGGGACTTTGTTGAGGCACCGTCGCAGATGCTGGAGAACTGGGTGTGGGAGAAGGAGCCGCTGCTGCGCATGTCCAGGCACTACAAAACTGGAAGCCCCATCCCCGATGAGCTGCTGGAGAAGCTCATTAAATCCCGGCAGGCAAACACGGGTGGGTCCCTGCAGAGGGAGGTGAGAGACAGCAAAGAGGGGCAGGAGGGGAGCGAGGGCTGCACTCTGTCCCCAGCCAGGGCAGAGCCTTACCGTTGTGTCCCCCGTGTGTGGAGAGGGGAAGGGGACCCTTAGTGACCTGGCCGGGTGGAGGAAAGGCTTTGTCTTACTCCCTGTGGTGCTGTGGGGGCCGAAGGGATTGGGAGAGAGGAACCGCATCTCCTTGCTGCTCATCTGGGAGGAGCGAGGGGGGCGTGGGTGGAGGTGCAGTGGGCTGGGTGGTGGCACAGTGAGAAGAGGTGATGGGCAGGGCAGAGATTATCTGCAGGCAGGGGATGTGGCTTAGGCTTGAGTGGGCGCTGCTGAACTGGGCTGGTCTGGGGAAGCAGGTCAGAAATTAGGTGTGGGGAGAACTGTGGGAGCCCCTCAGCCTGCCCCGCTGCGACCCAGCCTCAGGGAAGCGCCTGCCTGCAGTCAGGAACTCAGTTTGTCTCCTCCTTTCGGGAACAGGGCTTTTCAACTTGCGTCAGATCGTCCTGGCCAAGGTGGACCAGGCACTGCACACCCAGACGAAGGCCGACCCCGTGGAGGTGTTTGCCCAGCTGTGTGAAGAGGTGCTGGGTGTCCCTGCCACCCCAGGTACCCAGGGGCTTGGGGGTCCCGCTCTCGCAGTCTCTCTAGGCCTGGCCTACGAGCTTGGCTCAGCAGGTTCTTTTCAAGGCTGGGGCTTCAGGCTAGCTCGACGGGAATGGTTTCTGCTGGCTCCAGGAAAAGCAGGGCTGAAACCGTACAAAAATAACTGGAAAGTTCTTCCCTGTTTCCCCTGGGATTGTGAACAAGCTGACCCAGCGCCCGCTCTGACACATTTACAGCATGGAGGGGTTTTTCCGTGCTGTGAGCAGTTCCAGCAGCCTTTCCCGTTAACGCCCCTTCCCTTCCTTTGCCGCAAAGGTACAAACATGCCCGCTACTTTTGGCCACTTGGCCGGAGGCTACGATGCCCAGTACTACGGCTACCTCTGGAGCGAAGTGTACTCCATGGATATGTTCCACACGCGCTTCAAGCAGGAGGGGATCATGAACTGTAAGGTAGGGAGGAGGTCCTGCGCCGCCGGGCTCTCAGAGTGTGGCAGGGGCTGCTTCCCCTGCCAGAGGTGGTAGGAGACGGCAGCGGCAGTGGGAGGGTGGGTGTCCGACGCGTACCCCCGTCTCTTTCTGCTCGCAGGTGGGCATGGATTACAGGAATTGCATCCTGCATCCTGGCGGTTCCCTGGATGCTTCCGACATGTTGAGGAAGTTCCTGGGCCGTGAGCCCAAGCAGGACGCCTTCCTGGCCAGCAAAGGACTGAAGGTGGAGAGCAACTCGCTGCCTTCAGCCTGCTGAGAAGCTGCTCCAGCCCGTTTTGAGTCACGCCAGCTCCTTTGTCTACGCACCAGTCCTCTCAGGCCGAGCAATACCCGGTACTTCTGTCACCAAACGCATCCTGGGCCAGCCCCTGCCTGAAGCTGTTCCTCCAGGATCCAGCTCCGAGCTCATCCTGGGCTTCAGGAGCGGGGTTCAGCCCTGGTCCAGGGCTCTGTGGTGACAGCTCTGCAAGGGGAGTTGAATTGCCACTGTCACCCCTCCCGAGGGGGATGAGGCTGTCGGTAGCCCACACAAATTGGCTGGACTTTGAACCTAATTTCTGCACGAGGGTGAGTTTCAGCCTCATTTATGGCTGGGAAGGAGGGTGAGAGGAGTTACCAAACTTGAATTGTTGTTTCAAAATCCCTTTGTTTTAAGAAACGATGCTTCCTACCAGGCTTGGCCTGTTTTGTGCTCCTGGGCAGGCTGGACGGTTCTAAGCACAAAACAAGCAGCCTGAGAAGCTCTGTTGCGAGTTGCTCTCCCCATCTTTGGGCAGCTGGCAGCTGTGGAATAAAGATGGGGAGATCCCAGAGATTAAAACCCATTGCGTTTACTGCAACCTCCTGCCCTGAGCCTCTCAGATGTTCCTGCCTGGGCACCCGGCCTGCGAGGGGGGCAGAGATGGCTGGTACAGCTGTTCCTGGAACAGGGGGTCCGGGGAGCGTGGCCTGGGCCCCGCACGCTGTCAGGCGTCCTCGGGAGGTTGTACCTTCCCCCAGGCTGTATCGGAGCAGCTGGGAACCCGTGGCTGGGGCCGTCTTAGGGCAGCCGATGCCTTCTGGGCTCGGGTCATAGCAGCAGAGGGTGGGTTGCTATTGCTGTCATCTCTAAGCCAGGGTGGGACAGGGGAGGGCTGTGTTTAGGAAAAAAAAAGCGGACAGCTTCAAACAACACGGATGCCAGGGATAAAAATATCAAGTAGGCTTTGTGCCAGGCCTTGAGTGGCCAGGCTCAGGGTGCGGCACCGAGCTGGGAGACGACAGCCAGCCCTTTGCCCAGCCTTGGGAGCAGCCAAGCTGTGCCACCTGCCCCCCAAGCCGTTCCCCTGACCCCGAGAACACTAAAACCGGTGCCCGCATGGCGTGGCGTGGCATGGCATGGCATGACGTGCCTCCCTCGGCGGTGCCCTGCCCGAGCAGGCAGGGGGGCGCGCTTTCGCGC